ACACCATTGTATATTCCTGTTTTTGTATTATGCAGATGTTATTAATTACATGAATACAATGATAACTATATAATATACGATTTCAATCTCATTCTTCAGTGCTTGGTGAAAACGTATTTTATTCAGTATGCAGACATTGACATATTCATATCTATATTGAGCTTTAGGCTGCCATGGATAAAATAGTTTATGCTGCGTTTATATGTTGACCTTACAGCATCATCATAAGTGAGGCATCATAATAATACTTGAATGCCATAGTGTGCATTATGATCTTTATAAAAAAAAATATTAAAACAGAACGAATAACACAAAATAACACAGCACACACAATATTACGAAATGAATCATTATATACTACTAACTACGAAATAAGTAATAATGCGACACTTAAATACACTAATTAGCATTGCCATGGTCACCAATGCAGCAGCATGTGACCCTTTAACTCAGTAATAATAAAACCCATGCTTTCACACAAATAACTCATTACGTCATGTACACACAATCAGTTATGGACACAATAAACCCAATGATAGTGGCCACTCACAATAACACACTCGCTCACCATGGTCACAATCCCAGTGGTGATGGCTTATTCTACGCAGGAAAATGCAAGCTCAAATTCGAAACCATAATGAAGGATAACAATTGTACAGATTTTTTAAAATACTCATTGGTTTTGTGCGGTAAGTGGGTCAAATTAAAATGTCTGTCATGACACAGTCCACAGTACTGTTCAATTGAATTGTCAGATCATTAAATCGACTACCCAAGTTTTTTGTCTTTGTACGTACAGTTTTCAGACCAGACTAAATGACTGAATATTTCGTTTGTCTTGCCACCACATATCTAGAGAGCACTGCACTGCAGTCTCACAATTATATAAAAGTGTAATGCGACCTTGACAATAATTCATTGTCACAGATATTCATTCACGTAATTCAACCCGGTAGAAAGTTCCTTGTTTTTTTCAACGATTCGAATGTCTCTAAAATTATAAAAATTACAAGTTTACAAAAAAAGCTTTCGCAATAATTTATTCAAGTTAGGTATTGATATTATACATTACAGGAAAGCAACTTGTATATAATGAGGAATGCGCTATATAAATCGAGTTGTGAAGTGGACGACAAACGCCTGTTTGCATGGCGCCATTTCGCATCTTGGGGGTTTTGGTTAATGACGTCACTAATGAACATCATGTCTCAGCCAGTCGTAATGCAACCCACTGTTTTAGATGGCGCTTATTAGACATATATAACGTGACAAGCTTCAAATGGCGGCTATAGAATTACATATTTCCGATATGCCAGCAAAACTTTCATCACCGTAGTCTGAAATTTTTTTAAAAATCCTGCCATATATGATGAAATCTTATGTGCAGTGCCCCTGATGCGGGCCAGCAGTATTTCAGGAATCGACACGCATCACTATTCATCATTAGTGGGTCATTGAAGCGAGTTAATAAAGGGCCCACTCACTAACATACAGCACACGATAGGTAGGTTAGGTTGCACGATTTAGCCATTGGGACAGTCCGACCAACCATTTATTTACTCATTTGCACAAACTGAAAAAAAAAAATGAACCGTGGCTAGTCCAGCGTAGAATAAATTCCTATATTGCAAACTTCTGCTTTATATGCCTACAAATCACGTGCCTGACATAAAGCTCATGATTGGATGTTAACATCACGTGAAGACAATAGTTTCCCGCGGCTCACCAGTATGGCTGGAAACTATTGTGTACACCAGACTACACACCCACTCACTAGCACATCATAGAACAATAAAAGAACGGGTAAAAGAAAAGTTCAGTCAGTCCTAAAATAGAAACAATACTTCTGTTGTACTGCTGATGTGAGGCAAAAAATAACTGGATTGTTGCATTGTTGACGAGCTCAGATACGTTTTCCATGTAACTACCGAGGATAACTTCAAATCTTGATCAA